GAAAATCGCTGAAACCTGGGAGACTGAGGCTGCAGTGAGCTATGATGACACGAACGCACTCCAGCCTGTGAGTCCGGAGACCCCAGCTGGCGCCCTAAATCTCCCTCTCCACCGGTAGAAGTCAGCTCGAGGAGGTCTTGAGGACAGGACTACCGGGGCGCCGACCCTGGGAGGCCCGAAGCCCCCACTGCCACAATGCTCACTACTACATCCCCGCTCCAGCCGCCACCGCAACTGCCACAGAAGCCCCCGCACACGCGTCGGTGAATCTGTGTAAAGGGGCCGCAGCCGGACTTCAAGCACGAGTCGGCCTGGGCAATGCTCACGCGCGAGGCCCGAGCCCATTCTCCTGTCACAGCGACTCCAACGGTTGGCTGAGGACGACTCCCTGAGCCCCGACAAAGCAGAAGCCCTCAGTGGCAGTGCGTCGGTGTCGAGGCACCAGCCTCACCAATCCAAGGGGTCGACAAAACCGTTTTGGGACACCGCGATACACGGAGGGCCTACCAGGATGCAGAAACAGACGGAGTCCAAGGAAAGCAGCGCGGCATCCCAGCCTCAGGCCTGCCCCGACGGTGATCCGGTGAGTCCCCCCAAAAGTCGTACCCCCCGTGATCTCGAGGACAGGTCTGCCTGTGTGCCCGTGGACTGCTCTCTCACCCGAGAGTCGTTCTCCTCAAGAGCAGAACCCCACAGCCTCAGGGATTGCCTGGGGGGGTGTGTTTCTGTGCCACTGCTGTGTGTCTGTGGGTGTGTATCACATTCTTTCTTCTCTCTCAGTCTCTCAGTCTCTGTCTGTCTCTCTCGCTTTCTCTGTCTCTCTGTCTGTGCGCCCGTGTGCGAGTGAGTGTTGGGGTGAATGTGCCCTGTGCACCACAAAGCGATTTCTGGCATGTCTGCCTGTCTTCAGGGAGCCTCTTTCCTGCATCTCTGGCTGGGTTACGTGGTGGGTTGTCAGTCCTTTTCGCGGCGGTTCCACTTTGGGTTTGTGAAGGCTTCCACGACGTGTGGAGAGGCATCGGTCCCGGAGAAATTGAAATCTCATCCCTATCCTGAGTGGCCTCTTTTCTAGGATCAAGATGACCACATTCCAGCCAAGGACAAATAGCCTCACAGGAGTTCATTGTCCTGCAGGAGGGAAGCAAACCGAAGTCAAAGAAGATGGTTCTATCTCCTCGTGGCTCTTCTCCGAGAAATGAAACCACACATCACCACACAATCTTAAAAAGAAGCAGGAAAGGGGACATGGCAAGGATCCTTGTACTGGGACGCTGGACTCTGGACAACTCACCCGTTTGGCACTCCTTTCCTTATGCCTGTGGTGGTGAAACTGTGCGTTATCCTGCCTGGGCTCTGGCCTCTGCTCTGTCCTCCCTCTTGCTCTGTCTGCCCTGTTTTGAGGGGTCTAGGTGCTTCTTGGTCTGGATCAATGCCTTCAACAAAAAACACTTCCCAGTCCATCAGGGAGAAACTTCGTGGAGATCCATGTCATCAGCATTTCTCTCTCCAAACCTGTTTCTGGTTGATTGGGCAGTTTTGACAACCCTGGACCTCTGAACTTCCATACCTGTCTCAGACAGGGAAGCTCCCTCGGTCTCCATGTTTCACCTGATGGCTGAGTAGTTTGCCTAGAATGAGCGGTAGGCGACAGTGACTGGCCTTGGATTCTAGGAAAGTGCATTTCCTCTGCACTTCCTGTCTTATTCTTGAGGGACATCCTCTCCTTTGCTCCTGGGTGGGCTGCATCCCACAACTGAATCTTTTGGCTGTAAGGAATGTCGGGGAACCAACGGGACTGGGCTGGGCCCAGGGCTGGGCGCAGGGGAGATTGCGTCAGGGCTACCTGGGCGGTGGAGTGTCGGGAGTGGGGTGAACTTTGCAGAAACCTCTTTGCTCCTTTGGCAGGCATTTCAAAATGTGGCTTGGGCTCAGTACAGACCCCTTCCTGGTTCCCAGGTGTTCTTTGATTTTCCTTGGCATTGATGGAAAGGTCATCTGTGCCCCTCTTCCACTAGGCACATGCCTGGACACCATCGTTTGTTTCGCCATTGCTCCATATGCCCTCTGTGTCACACATTCATCCCATCTGCTCTGGGATACACCAGTGCGACGTGTGGTTGCATTGGCTCCACCTCGGATTTGCCCCTGTCCCTGTGTGCACGTGTCCTGGAAAGCGGTGTCAGCTTGCAGGAGCCCCAGGGCTTTTAAAAGCCGGGCAGGCCACTGCTCTTTCTTTTTTTTTTTTTTTTTTTTGAGACGGAGTCTCGCTCTGTCACCCAGGCTGGAGTGCAGTGGCCGGATCTCAGCTCACTGCAAGCTCCGCCTCCCGGGTTCACGCCATTCTCCTGCCTCAGCCTCCCGAGTAGCTGGGACTACAGGCGTCCGCCACCTCGCCCGGCTAGTTTTTTGTATTTTTTAGTAGAGACGGGGTTTCACCACGTTAACCAGGATGGTCTCGATCTCCTGACCTCGTGATCCGCCCGTCTCGGCCTCCCAAAGTGCTGGGATTACAGGCTTGAGCCACCGCGCCCAGCCGGCCACTGCTCTTTCAAAGGAGGAGGGAGGCAGAGGGCTCATGGGTCAGTGAATTTTCAGCTGACACCACGCCTTGAGGCCTATAGGATCATTCTGCGCTGCAGCAAGGCCCTGCCTGCCTCACCAGATGCGGTGAGCCCTCTTTCTCACCCAGAGGGGTCCAAAATCGCACCTGAAGAGGAGTCCTGAGACCCCAGCAGGCGCCCTGAGGCTCCCCCTCCACCGGTGGCAGTGGGCTCCAGGAGGTCCTGAAGACAGGACTCCTGAGGATTTGGCCGTGGGACGCCCGCGGCCCCCTCTCCCATGCTGTCCCCTACTGGACCCCGGATCTAGCCGCCACCGCGGCTGCAGCAGTAGCCCCCCTGCAGCCGCGCAGCCGCCATTGTTTCAAGGGGCCACAGTCTGACTTCCAGGGGCAGAGCGCGAGTCGGACCAGCCAATGCATGCGCGAAGCGCGAGCTGACTCTCCCCTCACAGTGATTCCCACGGTTGTCTTAGACACCGGTCCCTGAGGCTTGGCAAAGGAGGGCTCAAGGAGCCCTCCGTAGCAGTGCTTGGGTATCAGGGCTCGAGTCTCCGGCCTGCCCCACAGTGTTTTCATCCCCTTTCCATTCTGAGCCGCCTCTTTGCTAGGATCCAGAGGACCACACCCCAGCCAAGGACAAAGGCCTCCCAGGTGCTCACTGTCCACCCGCAGGAGGGTGCCCACACACCTTCAAGAAGATGGTTCTCACTCCTTTCGCCCTCCACCCTCATTGAGTAATCTAGCCACAGCTCGACACAGGGACGGAGAAGGAAGCCGGCAATGACATGGGGCAAGCATCTCTGTCACGCAAACGCTGGCCTTTCTGTCCAAGTCACCCGTTTTGCACTTCTCCCCGGCTGCCCGTGATGGTTGCACTTGCAGTATCCTGCCTGGGCTCTGGCCTCTGCTCTGTTCTCCCTCTTGCTCTATCTGCCCAATTTTGGACAAGTGTTGAGGCTTCTTCGTCTGGCTCAGTGTCTTCAACAAAGATCACTTCCCAGTCTATCAGGGACAAACTTCGTGGGGGTCCATTTCATGATTGCTACCCTCTGCAAACCCATTTCCGGTTGATTGGGCAGGTGTGATGATCCCGGAGCTCGGGGCTTCCATACCTGTCTGGGCGGGGAAGCTCCCTTGGTCTCCATGTCCCAACTGCTGGCTGCGTGGTCGGTCCAGGAAGAGCCAGAGACGACACCAGCGTGACTCACCTTTGCCTTCTAGAAAAGGTGGTGTTGCATCCCACCTGCACTTTCTGTGTCATTCCTGAGGGTCATCCAGTTCCTTTGCTCCTGAGGAAAGTGCCTGCAAGCACTGAATCTTTTTGCTGCCATGGATGTCAGGGGACCAAACGACTGGGTTTTGCTGGGTGCAAGGGAGGTGGCGTCAGGGTACGTCCATCAGTGTCCGTCTGGGCATCGCCCCCTATGGCCTCAAAGACACACGCTCACTCTATCTGCTCTTGGGGGACGTCAGTGCCACGTGTGGTCACATTGCCTCCATCTGGGACTCGCCTCTGTCTCTCTTTGCACATAGGGCAGAAAGGAGTGTTGTGATGCGGAGTACCCGGGCCTTGGAGATTAAGGCAGGAGTCCACTGCTCCACCCAGGAAGGAGGGAGGCAGTGGGCTCACGGATCAGTGCATTTTCGGCGGACAGTACGCCCTGCGGCCCTTGGGATCTTTCTGTGCCCCAGCGAGACCCTTCCCACCTCACTACATTGTAACCCCATTCCTGATCACCCGGTCGGATCCATAATCGGATCCGAAAAGAAGTCTGGAGAGGCCAGCCAGCACCCTGAAGCTCCTCCTCCACCGGGAACCGAAGCAGAAGACCGATGGAGAAGGTCCTGAGAACAGGACTCCTATGCGTCCGATGCTGGGTCTCCCGTACGCCCCTCTCATAGTCCTCTTCCCACCCGCCGCCTTGGACTGCGCCGCCGCCGCTGTCAGGGCTGCCCCAGTCCCCGAAGCCGCCTCGTCGCCACCATTTTTTTTTTTTTTTTTTTTGAGACGGGAGTCTCGCTCTGTGGCCCAGGCTGGAGTGCAGTGGCGCGATCTCGGCTCACTGCAAGTTCCGCCTCCCGGGTTCATGCCATTCTCCCGCCTCAGCCTCCGGAGTAGCTGGGACTACAGGTGCCCACCACCAGGCCCGGCTAATTTTTTTGTATTTTTAGTAGGGACGGGGTTTCACCGTGTTAGCCAGGATGGTCTGGATCTCCTGACCTCATGATCTGCCGGCCTCAGCCTCCCAAAGTGCTGGGATTACAGGCACCTGCCACCAGGCCCAGCTAATTTTTGTATTTTTAGTAGAGACAGGGTCTCGTCATGTTGGCCAGGCTGGTCTTGAACTCCTGACCTTGGGTGATCCACCCCCCTCAGCCTCCCAAAGTGCTGGGATTACAGGCGTGAGCCACTGCGCCTGGCAACACAGGTTTTGAGAGGATGGGAACGGGACGTGGCAAGGATCTGTGAGTGTGCAGGCTGTGTTTCACATATCATTAAACATAGTCTAGTGAGTGTTCTGCAGATAGCTGGCATTTAAGTTTGTTTTACTGAATCAAGGAAAAGAAAAAATGCTGAGAAAAAATGACACAACTTGCCTGCCAGTCCATCTGATTGTTACAAAGTTAATAGTAATTTTAATTTATCCTCTCATGTAAAGGTCCTTGGCAGTGATATCTAATTTCCTAAGATAGCCTTGCTTTATTTTGTATGATAAAGCTGTCATGCATATCAGAGTATCTGGAAATTCTTCCCAACACCCTTGACATATGTAATCAATACATTCCCAAAATAATATACCAAACCAAACAACAGAAAATAATTTGTTACTTAGTTCCTTCAAATTTGTTTATTTCAGTTGTGGTTCCTTCATGCAGGAAACATTTCATGTGTGTCTGGCACTCTTCCAGTCACAGATTTCATCTTAAACAACCTAAGTATTGAAATGCTTGTGCCCTTTGATTAATTTTTCCTACATAAATACTTTGATAAAGAGCTACACTGAGGGCGGGTACAGTGGCTCACACCTGTAATCCCAGCTCTTTGGGAGGCTGAGGCGGGAGGACCAGGAGGTCAGGAGATCCAAGACCATCCTGGCCAACATGGTGAAACCCTGTCTCTTCAAAAATACAAAGAATTAGCCAGGCAAGGACAAGCGCTGGCTCGTGCCTGTAATCTCAGCACTTTGGGAGGCTGAGGCAGATGGATCACATGAGGTTAGGAGTTTGAGACCAGCCTGGCCAACATGTTGAAACCTTGGCTATACCAAAAATACAAAAATTAGACCCAGAAGGTCATATCCGAATGAGAAAGGCATTGTTTGGCTCAAATTGTCTGACACTAAGAACAGTGCAGACTGGCCAAGTGAGGTGGCTCACACCTGTAATCCCAGCACTTTGGGAGGCCGAGGCAGGTGGATCACCTGAGGTCAGAAGATCAACACCAGCCTGACCAACATGGTGAAACTCCCATCTCCACTAAAAAAAAAATTACAAGAAAATTAATCAGGCGTGTTGGCACATGCCTGTAAATCCTAGCTATTCAGGAGGCTAAGGCAGGAGAATCACTTGAACCCAGGTGGCGGAGGTTGCAGTGAGCAGAGATCATGCCATCACACTCTAGCCTGGGCAACAAGAGCAAAACTATATCTCAAAAAAACAAGAATAGTGCAGAGTTAAAGCAGATTTATTTTCAAAGAAGCAGGGAACCTGGAATTTTGGGTGAAATGTCCCAATTGCCAGAAGCTGAAAATGCTCTCAAATGTAAAATTCAGGTCAGACTATATCAAGCTTCTCCTTGTTCTATGTGTGAATAGCTAGTCTGTATCTTCACCTATGCATATTCAAAAATCAACCTTAAGAAGGCCCTTGGCCACCATAATCCTTCCACACTAGCAAGAGCCCAGCCTCTGAGACTAGGTGTCCTTCTGCCTCCCACCGGAATGCCTTCCCCGGAATCTCCAAGATAACAAACTGGTCAGGGGCAGCTGAGACAGCCCTACTTCTGGGAGTCCTCCCCAACCACTTGAAATCACAGGCATCTCTGCTGTCCCTGCCTTTCATCCACATCACTGAACAATTAAGTGCACATGTCTCAGTACTTTTATTTAAACCATTCCTTGTGTGTTTACAATTAACTACTTCATGAATGACTGCAGTACGGATGGAGCAGAAAGGAATGCTGAAGGAGGACTCCTGTTCGAATGAGTCGCTCTTCCAGAACTAGGAATGAACTTTCCCCAGTACCAACCAGGCAGCCTCCAGGGCAAGAAAAGGTAACGGGATCCATTCTGCTGACATCCAAGATGGAATTACAGGTAACTCTCACCTCTTTTTTGACTCTCAGGTGGAAACCCCCTCCCCACGAGGTGAAGCGGAGTCCGCTCCAGAGCCCCGAAGTTGGGGTCGGGGATGTCACAGAAATCACCAGGGCAGCCAATTCCCATCCACAGGGGGCCCAGGATGACCCAGCACCCTCAAGCTCAGCCCCAAGCTCGGGCCAGGGAGTGAAGCCCTTGTCCCCAAGCAACAGAGTGAAGGTTTGTCTCTAACCCTGTGGGCTCCAGTGAAAGGAAAATGGCCTGGAGGTGCCCACAGGAGAGCACCCGAGTTCTGAGACAGATCTATGGCTCCCAGCCTGAGTCCCCGTGAGTAACACAGGGACGCACAGAGGGGCATGCTGCCTGCCTATAGGGCACTCACCGAATGCGGGTGCACGCTGCGGATCCTGAAGCCGGTCAGGTAACGAGGTGCAGAGGTGTGGGAAACAACTGGAGGGAGGCCTCCCTGGGGTCCAACTAGCCTAACTAGCCGGGACCAGCGACCAGAAGTGCTTCTGACGTTAACGCGACACACGGAAGGTGCGTAGGGTACGTAGTGGAAGTGACCGCAGAGGCCTCTGGGTATTGTAGTTTTGGAGCTAGAGAGGCGGGCAAGCAGTTGGCTTTGCCCACACAGGGTGCCTCTGACATCTGCACAGCGCACACAGCCGAGTTTAAGAGCCCACTGTTAAGATGCCCAAGTGACGTTGACAAGTTTCTCCTCTGCGAGCCAATGAGATCTGATGACTGCGAGAGCATCATGGGACCGCCAAAGGATTCTGGAAAATGCGGTCCCGGGTGGCCAGTGTGCGCTGACCTTCACCTGCAGGTGAGCTGAGCTCACCACGCAAGTCTCTGCTCTGGTGCACCCTTCCCCAAGCAGATGCCAGGTTGGGACAGAAGTGGCTCAGGGAGAGGCAATACTCTCTCGGAACTCCCGGTTTGGGGGCGACACTAACCCTGTGTCCCCTAGAGTAGGACAGTGTACCAGGACAGGGAACCCCCAGACTGTTCTCAGGGAGAGCAATATTGGCTCGGGGCAAACTCCTGGAATGAAGATGGGGAGAGTCTGGTCACGTTTCCCCAGGATTTTAGGGGACTTAGGCTAGACTTGGGTGAACAGCAGAAGATCCCCTGGTGATAGTGGTGGTGAGAATTGGAGGCTTGAGCCAAAAATTCCCGAGGTTTTTGTTTTGTTTTGTTTTGTTTTTTGAGACAGTCTTGCTCTGTCTCCCAGGCTGTAGTGCAATGGCAAGATCTCGGCTCATTGTAACCGCCTCCTGAGTTCAAGTAATTCTCCTGACTCAGCCTCCCAAGTGGCTGGGATTACAGGCACCCGCCACCATGCCGATTTTTTTTTTCTTTCTTTTTTCGTATTTTTAGTAGAGACGGTGTTTCGCCACATTGCCCAGCCTGGTCTCGAACTCCTGACCTCAAGTGATCCACCTGCGGCGGCCTCCCAAAGTGATGGGACTACAGGCTTGAGCCCCTACACCGAGCTCATTTTTATCTTTTATCTTACAGGTTTTTATCTTTTTTTTATCTTACAGGTGCGGCTTGAGGGAAACTTCTGGAGGGTGGGGTGGAATTGAAGCAGAGGCACAATTGTAACCTTTCTGCTCAATATGGGTGTTTTCTTTATGCATTAGTTTGTGTTTTTAAAGATATTGCATTAAAAATTTGTTTATCTTGATTACTGAGTTTCTTTTGTGGTGCCCCTTTAAATTCTCTATCCACAGTCCTGAGCCTTGATAGAAGTTATGGCCTGGCCTCTGGGCATCAAGCAGCCAGCAAGTCCCTTAGTAGCTTTCTCTGAATTATTGAATTGTGAGTGATCTTTTCCTTTCCTGACTTCCTTAATATCCACAATTTCCTTGTAACCATCCTTCCAAAGCCACACCCACAAGGCACCTCCAAGACCTATCATAAAGCAGATGTTCAAAGACTATTTGTAAATCTTCACAACACACCCCTTTCAGAATGTCTTCCAACACCCTTTGCCTGGAGAAGTAAAAAACAAGGTTTGCATGTTGAGTATCAGCCTCTCCCATTGGGTGGGTGTTTAAGAAGGAAGATCAGCCGAGAACCCTATTCCAGCCCAGGTAAATGACCTTGCCAAAGATTTAATATCCACAAATGTAGAATGCTTGTAGCAGTACTCAGTGGGAACCAAAGTCAGGCATGGGGCTGGGCTTTAAGGAGCACAAACGAAAAGGAGGGACTAGAAAACTTCAGAAAGGTGTTGGCGGGGACAGGGGACAGTGAGGATGTGGGATACTGAGATAATCCAAATCCCTGTGTGGAGACCTATGTGTGCAAAGGCTGTAGAGAGACCCAGGCTGATGGGGTATCTGTAATAAATCAAACATAATATAACAGCAGGTCACGTGATACGGGGACCCTGGAAAAACAGAACAAGCAGCAAAAGGAGCAGCATCAAACTCCATAGAAATTCACGAACATCAAGACGCTAAGAAAGCTGCATTCATTTAAATCAAGGTGACAGGCTGGGCGCGGTGGCTCACGCCTGTAATCCTAGCACTTTGGGAGGCCAAGGCGGGCAGATCATTTGAGGTTCAAGACCAGCCTGGCTAACACGGTGAAAGCTCGTCTCTACTAAAAATACAAAAATTAGCTGGGAGTGGTGGTGGGTACCTATAATCCCAGCTACATGGGATTATAGGCAGGGCGTAGGGGCTCATGCCTGTAATTCCGGCAGTTTGGGAGGCTAAGGCAGGAGATTCTTTGAATCCAGGAGTTTGAGACCCACCTGAGCTACACAAAAGTTAGCCACACGTGTTGGTGCACACCTGTGTGGTCTCAGCTACCATACAAGGATGACAAATAAAAAGAATTACCTGGCTGGGTACTGTGACTCACACCTGTAATCCCAGCACTTTGAGAGGCTGAGGTGGCAGACTGCTTGAACCCAGGAGTCTGAGACTGGTTTGGGCAACATAGCAAGACCTTGTCTCTATTATTTAAAAAAAATAAATAAAAAAGCAAAGAATTTCCTATGGCAAGTATTTTTTTTAATTAGAAAGGCAGCCAACTTCCGTAAGAAGTCTGAAAATAAAAGCCATAAATCCCTTGTAGGGGCCAAGGGCTTTGGTCCTCTCAAGGTTACTGAAAAATCAATTTGCAAAGGGCAGATTAATTGGAGAAAAGGTATACAAATTTATTTAACATGTATACACAAGTGCTTTCAGATTGAAGACCCAAAAATACAGGAAAAATGGTTCATTTTTATGCTTAGGATTGAAACCACCTTTGAACGAATGATAACAGTGAGAAAATTATGACAGTGGAAGACATCTGATCTAACCAATGCCCATCTTGCGTTTTTTTGGTTTTTTTATTTTTCTTTTGATTTTGTTTTCAAGATGATGTCTTGCAGATAGGATTGAGAAGCAGCGGGTTAGAATAAGTTGTCACAGAATTGATGGTGTGATGTGGCGGATACCCTTTTTCACAAGAGGTGTTAGGAGGATTTGGGGAAATGCTTATATGAGTGTAGCCTAATTTTAACTGGCCCAGCCCCATGAAGAAGCCCACCTTCATTTTCTTCAGTGAAATATAAAGGGAAAAAGAAAGATACAGAGACCAAATTTTTTGTTTATTAGAAGTCAGAACCTGGGCAACATGGCAAAACCCCATCTCTACAGAATATACCAAAAACAAACAAAAAAAAAATTAGCCAGGCATGGTGGCATATGCCTATAGTCCCAGCTACTCAGGAGGCTGAGGCAGGAGGATCAGCTGAGCCCGGGAGGTCGAAGCTCCAGCGAGCCATGATTGCACCAGCCTGGGTGACAGAGCAAGATCCTGTCTCAAAGGGAAAAAAAAAGAGAAGTCAGTATTCGTAGATTTATTATGGGAAAGCACAGTTGCAGTTCTGGGACGACCTCTAGAAATAGTCCATCTCCTCAAAATATACACAAAGTTTCAGAGGAGACCTCGACTCAACAAGGTAACAACAGAGGAAGTGCTTAGTAAGCTGCTCTGACAGGGTCCCAAAAGAACACTCATAAGGGCCGGGCGCAGTGGCTCACACCTGTAATCCCAGCACTTTGGAGGCCAGAGGCCGGTGTATCACCTGAGGTCAGGAGTTTGAGACCAGCCTGACCAACATGGAGAAACCCCGCCTCTATTAAAAATACAAAAATTAGCCCGCATGGGGACGCACGCCTATAATCCCAGCTACTCGGGAGGCTGAGCCAGGAGAATTGCTTGAATCTGGGAGGAGGAGGTTGCAGTGAGCCGAGATCGCACCATTGCACTCCAGCCTGGGTGACAGAGCGAGACTCCGTCTCAAAAAAAAAAAAGAACACTCATAAGAGACAAATGGTGTGTGGCAACTTTGATAGACAACTTCGATAGAATTTTTCACATTAACAGTCTCAGAAGGCCGGGCCTGGTGGCTCATGCCTGTAATCCCAACACTTTGGGAGGCCAAGGCAGACGGATTGCTTGAGCCCAGGAGTTCAAGACCAGCCTGGACAACATGGCAAAACCCTGTCTCTACAAAAATTACAAAAATTAGCCTGGCATGGTGGCATGCATTTGTAATCCTAGCTATTCGGGAGGCTGAGGCAGGGGGATAGCTTGAGCCCAGGAGGGGAAGGTTGCCACCATGAGCCGAGATCGCGCCACTGCGCTTCAGCCTGGACAACAGAGCCATACCTATTTTCAAAAAAAAAAAAAAACGGCCGGCGCGGGGGGTGCTCAAGCCTGTATCCCAGCCACCTTTGGGGGAAGGGCTGAGACGGGCGGATCACCAAGGTCAGGGATCGAGACCATCCTGGCGTACACGGTGAAACCCATCTCTACTAAAAAATACAAAACTAGGCGGCGAAGTGGCGGGCGCCTGTGGGTCAGCTACTCGGAGGCTGAGGCAGGAGAATGGCGAACCAGGAGGCGGGCTTGCAGTGAGCTGAGATCGGCACTGCCCTCCAGCCTGGGCCGACAGAGCAAGACTCATCTCAAAAAAAAAAAAAAAACAAAAAACAAAAAACGATCCCAGAAGACATCACCAAATCTGAGTAAAGCTTTAGACCTGTTTGACTTGGCTGCCTCTAGGGAGCAGAAGACTGAACGGAGGGTAAGGGGAGGAAAAGGTGGCGCTCTAAACTTTCCCCAGTGTTTCCGTCTGGAGTGTAGATTCTGCACAACCATTTCCAGGCATGCTCTGAGTCCTGGCCTCTTTTTTTTTTTTTTTTTTTTTTTTTTTTTTTTTGGTGACTTGGAGTCTACTCTGGCGCCTGGGCTGCAGTGCAGTGGCGCGGATCTCGGCTCACTGCAACCTCCGCCTCCCGGGTTCAAAGGATGTTCTGCCTCAGGTTTCTGAGCAGCGGAGATTACAGACGCACGCCACCACACCCAGCTAATTTTCTTTTGTATTTTTAGTAGAGATGGGGTTTCACCACGTTGGCCGGGCTGGTCTCGAACTCCTGAGTTCAAGTGATCTGCCTCAGCCTCCCAAAGTGCTGGGATTACAGGTGTGAGCCACTGCACCTGGCTGAGTCCGGGCCTCTATTTTAGAGGTTTATGTGCAAATGTTTATTTCCGGGATCCGTTTGCAGCAGGGACTTAGGGTAAAGGATAGTTTAATCATAAAGAAAGAATCAGACAATCCCAGAAGTATGGGATGTTATACAAAACAACTGGCCTGGGCTATTCAAAAACTCAGTGTCAAGATAGCCACAAAAAAAGGGGAAGAGGCCGAGCACAGTGGCTCACGCTTGTAATACTACACCTTGAGAGGCCAAAGCAGACAGATTGCAGATGGAGAAAGGATCGCTTAAGGCCAAGAGTTCAAGAACAGCCTAGGAAACATATCAAGACTCTATTTCTACCCAAAAAAAAATTAATTAATTAATTAGCTGGGCATGGGGGCACCCACTTGTAGTCCCGGCTACGTGGTAGGCTCAGGTGGGAGGATCACTTAAGCCCAGGAGATCAAGGCTGCAGTGAGCCATGATCATGCCTTTGCAGTCCAGACCAGGAGACAGCAAGACATTATCTCAAAAACAAAACCAAAGAAAAAAAACGCAAGATGGGGATTGGTTAGATCAGATCTCCTACACCGTCATAATTTTCTCACTGTTATCATTTGTGCAAAGGTAGTTTCAAACCTAACCATAAAAATGAACCACTTTTTGCCAGGCATGTGCCACACGCCTGTAATCCCAGCACATCCAGCCTGGATGACAGAGCTAGACTCTGTCTCAAAATATATATATTAATTGGGTTCAAATTCTCTCTCTCTCTCTTTCTCTCTCTCTCTCTCACACACACACACACCCCTCTGCTGTAAAGATTTTAAGCAATGTGGAGCCCCTGATCCCAGCTGCCTTAATGGTTTAGTCTACAACATGGTTGCAATCATCCTCAAGTCATCCTGAAATACTGGCGGTGAATTACAAAGATGCTGCAGCCACAACAGACACAGTCTTGGGAGCAACAGAAAACCTGGACTACCTCCCAAATTTTTGTTTGTATGCCCTCACATTATCACCAAGTTTTTCTGCCTTCCTCTATTTGTAGTTTCTTATTTTAGTTCACTTCATTTTCCTGGAACCATTTTTATATAACTTCTGTCTAATAAATCATCATTTTACTTAGAGCAATTTCTATTCTTGGAAAATCAGAGGGCCTTTCAGCTTCTGCTGTAAGGTGATTCTTAGTCTGGAGAACAAGATTATATCTGCTTCTGTAGGATTACAGCAAATTACTATGATTTCTACTTCTTCCTGTGATAATATATGTTATTACCTAAGTCTGCAACTTCTTTTGTTAAATATTTGTGACTCTCCAGGCAGCCTGAAGGTGAGGACTCCAGCCTAGCCTGGGAGCTGCCTTAAAGGAGCCGCACACTTAGTGATTGCAGAGATGCTGGTAGGAAGCAGCAAGTAGTCTAGCTGTTGTGTTTTATTAATTTGGTGCTTGGACCAGGAAAATTAAAATGCAGTCTTGTGTTCTGTGGATGAGACCTTACTGCCTCCGAATAGCTACTTCTGATAGAGCAGCGAACAATAAGTCACTTAAGTCATTTGTTGATGGTCATGAATCATGGCATCATGACAGGGACCACCACCAGCAAAATCAAAGCAAATTATTTTGTTTGTTCACATTAATCAGAACAAAGAGAAAGTAATTGGAGAGCCAGTATATAAGACGCATGTTTCAATATTACGAGACCCGTAAAAGAATGGTAATAAGCCGGGCACGGTGGTTCATGCCTGTAATCTCAGCACTCTGGGAGGCCAAAGGCAGGCGGATCACGAGGTCAGGAGTTCGAGACCAGCCTGAACAACATAATAAAACCCTGTCTCTACTAAAAATACAAAAATTAGCTGGACGTGGTGGCACACGCTTGTAATCCCAGCTACTCAGGAGGCTGAGGCAGGAGAATCACTGGAACCCAAGAGGCAGAGGTTGCAGTGAGCCAAGATCACGCCACTGCACTTCAGCTTGGGCAACAGAGTGAGACTTCGTCAAAAAACAAAACAAAACAAAACAAAAGAATGGTAATGAATATAGTAACTATCAAGAAAGTAAAATATTTAAAAACCATAATGAAAATGTAGGCTGGAGGCCCAGCACAGTGGCTCACGCCTATAATCCCAGCACTTTGGGAGGCCAAGGCAGGCGGATCATTTGAGCGCAGGAGTTTGAGACCAGCCTCAGCAACATAAGGAGACCTTGTCTCTACAAAAAAATTAAAAATTAGCAGGGTGTGGTGGTGCACACCTGTAGTCCCAGGTACTCGGGAGGCGGAAGTGGGAGGATCACTTGAACTCAGAAGGTTGAGGCTGCAGTGAGCTGTGATTGTGCCACTGCACTCCAGTCTGGGTAACAGAATGAGATGAAAGAAAGAGAGAAAGAGAGAGAGAGAGAGAGAGAAGAAAAGGAGAGAGAAAGAGAAAATGTGAATGGGTGAATCTCATAAAAATAATGTTATGTGCAAAAAACCAGATACAAGAGTATACGTGAGAAAAAATTTTAAATGGTTCATTTTTGAGGCATGATAAATCTAAGTACTGGCAGCCAGCCTGAAAATGTAACAAATCGCAGGGCTCATGCACCTAGAAGGTCACAATAAGGGAATAGAATGTAGAGGCGGGGTCAGCCCATAAAAGGGAAGAGAGTGGCCGGCGGCACGGTGGCTCACGCCTGTAATCCCAGCACTTTGGGAGGCCGAGGCGGGTGGATCATGAAGTCAAGAGATTGAGACCATCCTGGCCAACATAGTGAAACCTTATCTCTACTAAAAATACAAAAATTAGCTGAGCTTGGTGGCACGCGCCTGTAGTCACAGCTACTGGGGAGACTGAGGCAGGAGAATCGCTCAAACCCAGGAGGCAAAAGTTGCAGTGAGCCGAGATCACGCCACTGCACTCCAGCCTGGCTACAGAGCGAGACTCCATCTTAAAAAAAAAAAAAAAAAGGGGAAGGAATTTTTATTATTGGGAAATCGAAACTTAAACGTGTAAGGGGATGGGGTATAACCTTATAAAGGGGATAATGAAACCTAGGTGAAGTCCGGGAAGATTGTAACCCCATAGTACTTGACCAATTAGGAACCGGGGGAGGGACTTGCATGCTAGGAGATAAATTACCGTTGTGACTGCTCTGGGTGTGCCTGCCTACCAGCCAGCTGATCTTGCAAGATCTTTATTAAAAGTCTCACTTCCACTGTTCTTCGTGCCTCCAAATCCATTCTTCGGGTTTGAACAGGTGAGTGTGTTTCTCACATACATAAAATTCATAATACAGACCAAACTAAACTACAGCATTAAGAATGCACCCTTAGGTGGTAAAATGAAAAGAAAAACAAGAAAGTGATTACCCTAAGTATCAGGGTAGTAGTTACTTCTGGGTAGAAAGAAAAGGATAGTGATAAGAAGAGGAAGGGTTCTGGGATACTGGAAATATTCCATTTCTTGGCCTGTGTGGCAGTTAAATGGATGTTCACTTTGTGATAAATCATTCAGCTGTATATTTATATTTTGTTTACTTTTCTGAATGTTATATTGCACAAATAAGATTTGAAAAACAAATGTCCAAGGTAGTCAATGCAATGTTAAAGATAATAAGAAAAGACTATAATTATAAAGCTTTAGTAGCTTTATAATCGATCCGTATGGGTGAAGATAGGCAAAGGAATGAATAAAAAAAAATTAAAAATCCAGAAAAGACCATGAATCTAAAATATCTTGATATATAATAGAAGTGGCATATAATCTACTGGAGAACAAAGAGAAACACCCTAGTACAGAACCTTGAGAATGCCTATAAGAAGCGATCTTGTAAGCATTTCTCATAAACATCAAGCTGGTTGAAATGGCCAATAGGCCCCGCCCTTCGTCGTTGGGCTGTTTCAAATGCGTTGGCGCTTCCCGGCCTCGAGGGGGCATCTGCAGAACGGCGGGCGCCGGGAAAGTACGCATGCGCACTGCTCCCAGGGTTTGCGGTAGAATCTAAGCTCTCGCTCCCGGTTACGCACACGGCATTTATAGTGCGCACAGCGCTCACGCACGCGCATTGGGGCGTCCACCGGGCATCGCGCTGTCCCGTTATTCCAGTTTCTTTGGGAGCAGCCGAGTTGACCCCACGGTCTAAGATGTCCAAGCTGCCCGCAGACAGCAGCGTCCCGCAGACAAGCGCGGCGAATGGTGACAGAGACGTCCCGCAGGCGGAGGTAGGCCGCGGGAGGCGGGAGCCGGCCCCGGCACAGCCTGAGGAGGCTGGGGAAGGCGCGATGGCGGCGGCCAGGGGAGGCCCGATGCCGGCGGCCAGGGAAGGTCGGATGGCGGCGGCCAGGGGAGCCCCGGCGGGGGCAGCCAGGGGAGCCCCAGTGGCAGCGGCGGCGGTGGCCAGGGCAGCCGCGGCGGGCAGGGAAAGCCCGGCGGCGGCGGCGGCCAGGGAAGCCCGGATGGCGGAGGTCGCCCGCTTGCTGGGGGAGCCTGTGGACGAAGAGGGTCCCGAGGGCAGGCCCAGGTCCAGGCACGGGAACGGAGGCCTGGCTGCGTTGCCTTATCTCCGTCTCCGCCACCCACTTAGCGTTTTAGGAATCAATTACCAGCAGTTTCTCCGCCACTATCTGGAAAATTACCCGATTGCTCCCGGCAGAATACAAGAGCTTGAAGAACGCCGCAGGCGATTCGTGGAAGCCTGCAGAGCAAGGGAAGCAGCGTTTGATGCCGAATATCAGCGAAATCCTCACAGGGTGGACCTCGATATTTTAACCTTTACGATAGCTCTGACTGCATCTGAAGTTATCAACCCTCTGATAGAAGAACTTGGTTGTGATAAGTTTATCAATAGAGAATAGTTATGTGGTGACACTACTTCAAGAGAACCTCTGCATTCCAGTTATACCAATCCTGCAACTTGATTTTCAGAAGTCAAGAGTATATTGCGATAAGACAGTGCACAGGTGGAGGGGAAAAAAGGGGGGAGGGGGAAGCTTATCTTGAAAAAGCATCACAGAAGAAATAGAAAAAAATGTCCAAAGCATTATAACTGTAACATTATTTGAGTTTGTGATTGATCTACATTTTTCCCCCTGCATTACGGAAAATGTCTCTAAACATTGCTTTATTACAAAGTAAAGGATGGTTTTATAAAATTGAGACTTGATGAAAAATCACCAATACTAGAGCCCATGAGGATGAAAGAAATTATCAGATAGTGCTGAACAGAGTAAGACGTTAACGCTGAGTTACTGGGACTAGAAGGCTATGAAAAGAACTTGAAATTGTCGGAATATGTGCTCTCTTCATGTAATATTCAATAGAAGTTTCTAGTTTAAGATTGATTCTGTGTTTTCTTAGACATTTCAAGTGACAAGCAAAGTAAATGTACATATTATGTGATAAATCATGTTTACAAGAACATCAAATTTCTGGACTTTTTTCTTTCAATTTTTAATTTTTAAAGTTTTTTGGTATAAAAAATCCACTCACAAGCCAAAAAATATATAAAATATACAGTGAAAAGCCTTCCATTCTTGTTTTCCTCCATCCAGTACCAACCATGACCTCTAATAGCCACAATTTCCCTTCCGCCCTTCTAGTTTCCTTACATGTACACAGGCACATATAAATCTGGGTTTACTTGTTTTATTTATTCACAGAAGTCAGCATATTATATTTACTGGTTTATACATTGCTTTCTCATTAAGAACATATGTTGACCTTTCCAAACCACTGTATTTCCTCATTATTTTTTAAAGTGGCATTTTATTCCATTCTGAGGTTATGTCGAAATTTACTTAACCAGGAATATATTGACGGACATTTAGGTTGTTGCCCATCTATTTCTTTGGGCAGAATAAAAAATTGCTAGAGTAGTTCATCTTGTATATCATGTGGCATGTGCACAAATACAGTATTGCTTCAATTCAAAATTCACTTCATTATTTGAACATCTCTGAAATGTGGGTGCATCTTACATTTGATGCTGTAATAGATCATTTTTTCCTTAGGTTTTCATGAAACTAATTTTTTTTTTTTTTGAGATGGAGTCTTGCTCTGTCGCCAGGCTGTAGTGTAGTGGTACAATCTCGGCTCACTGCAACCTCCACTTCCCAGGTTCAAGTGATTCTCCTGCCTCAGCCTCCCGAGTAGCTGGGACTACAGGTGCCCACCACCACACCCAGCCAATTTTTGTATTTTTAGTAGAGACGGGGTTTCACCATGTTGGCCAGGATGGTCTTGATCTCTTGACCTCGTGATCCACCCACCTCAGCCTCCCAAAGTGCTGGGATTCCAGGTGTGAGCCACCACGCCCAGCCCTAATGATGTGTCTTATAATCAATAGCTACCTAGATTCCTTTTTATATGTAATATCTGTAGGCTGATTCCCCAGAAATGAGAATTCTGGGCCAAAGGTACTCCTTTGAGATTTTATGGATATTGCTATGCAACATTCTATATGTGTCCTGCTTTGCACTCCCACCAGCAGTTAATGATCATGGATGTTACAGCCTAGCCAACACACTAAACCATCAATATCTGGCTTTTGCGAATCTGATAGTTGAAAAACTGGTATATCAGTTTTAATTTGCTTTTATTATGAGCAAACTTAAATACCTTTTTTTTTTTGATATGGGAGTTTCGCTCTTATTGTCCAGGCTGGAGTGCAATGGTGTGATCTCGGCTCACTGCAACCTCCACCTCCCAGGCTCAAGGGATTCTCCTGCCTCAGCCTCCCAAGAACTGGGATTACAGGCATGCACCAACACGCCTGGCTAATTTTTGTAGTTTTAGTAGAGATGGGGTTTCACCATGCTGGCCGGGCTGGTTTTGAACTCCTGACCTCAGGTGATCCACCCACCTCGGCCTCCCAAAGTGCTGGGATTATAGGGGTGAGCCACCACACCCAGCCAGTTAATTTTAAGAGTCATGGAAATTCCCTTTTCCATAAACTCTCTGCTCATAGTCTTTTTGTTTGTTTTTTTTTTGTTTTTTGTTTTGAGACAAAGTCCAGCTCTCTCGTCCAGGCTGGAGTGCAGTGGTACCACCTTGGCTCGCTGCAACTTCTGCATCCCAGGTTCAAGCAATTCTTGTGCCTCGGCTTCCCAAGTAGCTGGGATTACAAGCACATGCCACCTCACCTGGCTCATTTTGTATTTTTAGTGGAGACAGGGTTTCACCATGTTGACCAGGATGGTCTCCAACTCCTGACCTCAGATGATCCTCCCTCCTCGGCCTCCCAAAGTTCTGGGATTATAGGTGTGAGCCACCGCGCCTTGTTCATATTCTTTATCCACTCCCCTCCCAGATAATTTTGTACTTTCTTCGTTGAATCCAGTAGCTATTTATGACACTCATGTTAGTGATATGAGGTATGATAATAGCTTGGGAGATGAGTTACTAATATCTTTTCACAATTTGATCATTAGGTTTTGGCTTTTTGGAAAGCCTTTGGCCATGGTAATTTTTGTTGCCTATTTTCCTTTAAATTTGCAGGAGGCAGGAGGCTGGGCACAGTGACTCGCACCGGTAATCCCAGCATTTTGGGAGGCTGAGGCAGGCAGACCACTTGAGCTCAGGAGTTCAAGACCAGCCTGGGCAACATGGCAAAACCCTGTCTCTATGAAAAATATGAAAAATTAGCCTGGCATAGTGGCACACGCCTCTAATCCCATCTACTCTGGGGGCTGAGGTGGAAGGATCACTTGAGCCCAGCAGGCTCCAGCATGGGTGACAAAGTGAGATCCTGTCTCAAAAAATAAAAAATAAATAAACCTGCAGTATTTTGAATCCTAAGGTACTCTTGGGGTAGGGGTGTGTGTGTGTGTGTGTGTGTGTGTGGTTTCATTGTTCATATTTGAATCTTTGAACCATTTGAAATTTATTCTCAGGTACAATATAAGGATCAAATTTTTTTCAATATATTTTCCATTTTTACTGTGCATACACATATATACAATGTATTTTTAAAATGAGCTCTACAATATGTGGTTTTATCACTTGTTTACAACTAAATACATTGTGAACATTTTCTCTTCAACAGTTAAAATAATTGTATAGCTTGGAGGAAACATAATTTATTAAGCAATCTTGTCGGGGACATTGAGGTATAATTTTTTTTCTAAGAAGACTTCATTCTTTTTACAGTGCCATTGGGGAAAAAAAAGGGGAGTCCTTGTCTTATGTATCTTTCTATAGATGATGGAAACTTGTCCTTCCATTTAGCCTTTTAACTTGCTTCTCTATACCCACCTAATCACCAATCAAATAACCTATTTTATGTTTTCCAACCTCTCTCTCCCATTTGCTTCCTCTTTCTTACCCAGTCTCCCTGCATACATGCAGACGGACTTCCATTCCTTCAGCTGAGATGGCGCCACCGCACTCCAGCCTGGGTGACAGAGCAAGACTCCATCTCAAAAAAAGAAAAAAAAGAAACACTGGACTTGGGCACAATGGAGATATGGCTGACTTTTGTTGTTGTTGTTGTTGTTGTTGTTGTCATTGTTGTTGAGACGGAGTTTCACTCTTGTTTCCCAGGCTGCAGTGCAGTGGCGCGATCTCAGCTCACCGCAACCTCCGCCTCCCGGGTTTGAGCGATTCTCCTGCCTCAACCTCCCGAGTAGCTGGGATTACAGGCATGCGCCACCACGCCTGGCTAATTTTGTATTTTTAGTAGAGACAGGGTTTCTCCATATTGGTCAGGCTGGTCTCGAACTCCCAACTTCAGGTGATCCACCCACGTTGGCCTCCCAAAGTGCCGGGATTACAGGCGTGAGCCACCATACCCGACCATATATGGCTGACTTTCTTTTGAAAAAAGTAGCTTTTTGGGAGAGGGCAGGGCAAAGAGGTAAGAAGTAGTTGGTACTATAAGGAAATGTTAGAGACCATTTTGGAAATGTATTCATTATTTTAACGCAACTAACAAATGATCATCCTTCAGTTAGGACATTGTAGCAGCAGCTTTTACTGGTCATGAAATTTGCATGATATCTAAAATTGTATTCCTGGAAATAGGTCAATGTCGATTAATAGTAACTTTGTATAGAAAGGCAGATGCCAGCAAGCATTAAAGTGGTACATGCAGACGGTGGTAGTTCTGGAGTCCTGGAAGCCATGAGATGCTCATCCATCACGAGGCCATCACAGCCAGGTAAAATGCCTGAGGAAAGCAGCAGAGCTGGCCCTGCCAACATTTACACAGGGAACGCTTCTTGGGCAGCCAGGTGTCATGGAGCACAGACCCACAGTTCTCTTTGCACACATCGTGCTCACAGTTCCATCCATAGAAGGACGGGGGGCAGCCACAAAAGGACCCCAGCATGCAGGTTCCCCTATTCAGGCAGCAGGTTCTGCTTAGCTCCTTACTGTCCCATATCCCCATGGGCGGCACACACTGGGAAGACCAAGGCCAAATTGCAGGCTCCTCCTGGGGCCAAATGCTGTCATTTCTGAAGGCCAGGTCTCCCCGAGATGGACGCGCAAGTTCCTGATGGCCCAACCTGGCAATTAATGCCAGTTCAAAGGCTACAAAATGCCCATGATCCAAATCACACTGGAAGAGAAGCAAGCCATCTTCCTGCAGTCCACAGCTCTGTCATTGTCCCCTTGAACATCCAGGCAGGCCAGAAGATGGGAGACAGCAGCAAGGATCCAATTTTTTTAGATGACTTCCTGGTTGCCCTAATATCAGTTACTGAGTAGTCCACCTTTTCCCCACTGATTGTTTTGGTTTTGTTTTTTTTCCAGATGTAGTCTTGCTCTGTCAACCAGGCTGGAGTGCAGTGGCGGGATCTCAGCTCACTGCAACCTCCACCTCCTGGGTTCAAGTGATTCTCCTGCCTCAGCCTCCCAAGGAGCTGAGATTCCTGGCACACACCACCACACCCAGCTAATTTCTTGTATTTTTAGTAGAGAGGGTTTCACTATGTTGTCCAGGTTGGTCTCAAACTCCTGACCTCAGGCGATCCACCTGCTTCAGCCTCCCAAAGTGCTGGGCACGATGCCCAGCTCCACTAATTGTTTTAAGATGCCTTTTTGTACAAAAACTGTGTTTTAGATTTTCTAACTAGTTCTAAATCTGGTAATGCTAAAGCCTTTTATTATACTTCTTTTTCAGAGTGCTTCTGGGTGTTTTATTCATTATGTAACTACATCAACCTCAAAGTCAGCTCACCTCATTTCTTTTTCTTCTTTTTTTTTTTTTTTTTTTTTGAGACAGAGCCTTGCTCTGTCACCAGGCTGGAGTGCAGTGGTGCGATCTCGGCTCACTGCAACCTCCACCTCCCAGGTATCAAGTGATTCTCCTGCCTTGGCCTTCCAAGTAGCAGGGACTATAGGTGTGCACCACCATGCCCAGGTAATTTTTGTATTTTTAGTAGAAATGGAGTTTTGCCATGTTGGCCAGGCTGGTTTCAAACTCCTGACCTCAAGTGATCCGCCACCCTTGGCTTCCCAAATTGCTGGGATTACAGGTGTGAGCCACCACACCCAGCCATTCTACATCCTTACAA